AAAAAAAAGTTAAAAACAACTAACAAAATTAAAATTTACGATTTTGTTTAACTAACTTAATTTGAAATTTTCTAAACATACAATTCCCAAGAAAAATAAAATAAGAATAAGAAAATAATAATGAAAACAAATCCAGTTTCCAAAATCTCTAAAACAAAATTCTTAGTGATTTTCAATTTTGAAAATAAAGATAAAATCACAAATTTTAGAATTACAAAATTTTAGTTTTACAGTTTCCAGAACTGCAGGAATGAGAATAGGGCTAAAATTCTAAAATTTCAGATTTTAAATATTTTTTTGAACTTTGGGATAAAATAAGCAAAAATCAAAAGTTTTAAAATCAAATTTCATAAACAAACAAACTCTTAATAAAATTCTGTCTGATTTTAAAAATCTCAATTGAAAATAGATAGAATTTTTGTAACATTAATTCTGACGCACCTTGTATAACTTTCCTCAGCCAAACCAATTATTTTTTCAACACCCAGTAAAAACGCATTTGTTTTGTACTGAAATGCCAGGAACAGATTTCAGCTTTAAAACGTCTGTCTGTCATCGATTAATTCAGTTTTTCCACATTTAGTATAATTAAAAAAAAATGAGAAAAAACTTAGAACAGTTTTAGAACAGTTTTGACACGTTTGCACGTTTCGTCATTAAATTTCACTTTGAATTATGTATATTTTGTTTATGTTCTCTCTGTTTCAGATAAAGCTCTCCCTGCAAATAAAGTTTGCGGTCTTTATGACATTCCACCGGAATAGTTTGTGTAAATTAATAGACGAAGTTTGTAATTAATGTTGCCGGTGTCTGTTTTAATTACGCTATTTTTCTAATTGATTTGTAATTGGACTCAATTTCTGATATTAAAATAAAATTGGATGCTGAAATTGCAATTGTGGTGTTTTTTTTTCCCTTTTAACCCACTTTTTGAAAATGTTTTATTCAGCATTATTTAAAATCGTAACAGAATCTGGGGTGAGACTCAAAGAGTCTGATACCCAATTACACAAGCTTGAGCCCGGATCTCATTCGAAGTTACAAATATTAATCACGGTGAAATCCAAGGCGAATTTGTTAATTTAGGGTGAAACTACAACTTTTTGTTATTTATCAAACTGGTTAAAAATTTAAAAATTATCATCGAGTCATTTTTTAGTTGAAATAATAAGCAAAAAAAAGTTAAATGGTCTCGTTTGAAGTGTTTCCAAAAAGTTACTTCGTCATTATATTAAGAATTTTTTTTTAGTTTTCAATCATTTCAAGATTTCTACACAATAAAATTACATATTTTTATAGTTTATTTTGTATTATTCGAATTTTAATTTTTAAAATTGTTGTCGATTTTTCGGTTTGTTTTCAAATTTCTTAAAAATAACTGTTTTGGATTTTTAGTTATTAGAAAACCTAGAAGAAGCAAAATTTCAACAATTTTGAATTGAAAATGTCATTTCCAAACTTTTTTGTCCCTTGCAAAATAATCATTTATAACAAAATTTAAAAAAACTAAATTTGTCTATTAATTATGATTTGACGAAATTAGTAAAAATGGCTTATTATTACATTCTTTGATTATTTATAGTCTTAAACAAACGCATTTTGTTCTGTTTTTTGAAAAATTAAAGTTCATCATTTATTAGAAGATTTGGTACAACTTGGTCAATTTTGAGACTCTAGGGGAATTTCTAGTCACCACAATTGGGTCAAATTTCACTAAAATGTTACTAAACACCCAATAAAGCTCCCAGAAAAGTTTCATTAAAATATCTCAAGGCTTTCTYGATTTAAACGAGGTGTTAAGTGTTAAAATCACTTTTARTCAATTTTGAGATATTCAAAGAGCTGTAGAAAAGCTTCTAGCCGACAGAAATTATTCAAATTTGGCTCAAATCTTCTCAARTAGTTGATAAACCCGTCGAAAAAATTTCATCACMATWTTCCAAAGCCTACTCGASTTATTTAACACGGTGCTAAGTGTTAGACTTGACTTGGCATTTTTTGAAATTACATTAGACCAAAACGGCTCAAATACAAACTGTGGTCAAAATCTAACTCCAGATTATCAAAGCTGGTGTAAAAATGCACATTTTAGTCTTAAAAATGATTAATTTGTGACACACTGTGTATCAGAATAGATTTTTTTTTAACTCGTTCCAAGTCTTAATTTATTTTAATTAGTGTGTAATGTAGAAGGGTTGTTTATTGTAAGCTGTAATAAAGTCACTTAAGGTATCAGATTGTAATTATAGGAAACCTTCTAACCCTAACATTACCCACCTAAACGAACCAATTACCGGTAATTATCCAAGTTTTTCACTCGAATTAATTCAATTTGTTTGGGTGATCAAGAATGCGTTGCTTTTATGTCACACAAAAAACTCAAGCAAGTGTGAATTTATCCCAATAAAATAGCAAAAAAAATATGAAAAACTTAAAAATTCAATGAAAAAAAAAAACCTAAGCTTTCCATGTAAGAAAGGCATCTGGTGGAGGAGGAATCGCGCTAGGCTATGGACGCCGCGACGCCCGTTTCACTTCGTGATAGTACGAACAGTCGTTGCCATGCGACGCGACATCGATCCGTCGATATGACGACTAGTGCCATTGCGTCGTCGACGTCGCTTCCAAAACGCCATTTTGGATCAACTCTTGCCTTGAATATGACGTCATTTCATCACATAATGATTGCGAAATAAAATATGTCACGAATTGACGCGAATGTGACGTCATTACACAAAAATTCTACAAAATTGTTTTTTTTTTCATTTGAATTCTGGGAAATTTGCTTAAAATCTGTTCCAAATTGTTGTGAACACTCAAGGTCAAGGTGCGTAATAACATCTGTCACAAATTAACGTGAGAAGAAAATGAAAGTTACCAATTATAGGTATTTTGCTTAAAATCTGTTCAAAGTTGCAGCAAATATACAAATAAAATTTGCTTAAAATTTGTCCCGAATTGTTGTGAATAATCAAGGTCAAAGAAATTTTTTAACGAAATGAAGTCTGTCACTAGTTGACGTGAATGTGACTTCATTATAGAACAAATTTTACAAAAAAAATGTTTTTTTCTCTTAATACTGAATAAAAAAAAACAAAGTGATAACCAATTTTAGTAAATTTGCTTAAAATCTGTTTCAAATTATTGTGAATAGTCAAAAATATTAAAAAAATTTGTATAAATTTGAATATCAAAAAATTATTCTTTGCTTTT